CTAAACAAATCTGAAAGCCAAATAGAAATTTTAATTATCACAGCAGTTCAAGCAGTGAAGAAAAAGAAAGATTACAAAACATCCCAATTTCCTTGCAGAAAATCCAATGGTTGAGGTTACCTCTTAGTAATTGTCAGATAATCCGTTAAGGAGAAGCAGACTCAGTATTTCCACTGCTTGCAAGAAAAACATAATCTCTCTAGTTCAAATTTCTCAATAATGGAACATACTTACCCTTAGCAGGCTTTGAGGATTGACTAGAACTAGGATCAGTACCAGAGCCTTCCATCATTTCACTTGCAGACAGCCAGATTTATTATCTTTTTGAAGTTGCTGTCGGGTGGGTTCCAGTTATTTTCCCTACCCACAGCTGGAAAGGTCAGGCACGAAGAAATAATCTGTTTATTGGCAGAGTGTGGTCAATGGCAACTCACATATTGTGACTCCCAACTGTCTCTGTAACTAAATCTATTCCTTTCCAAGCTAGTAGGATTTTTAGTAAGATGTTCTAAGGTTGCTGATGCCCAAAACTAGGGCACAATTCCACAGTACAAGTGAGGTAGAGGGGCTGGACGGATACTTATTTGCATGCCTTAAACTGATTCTAGTTTAGAGTGCAGAAAACAGAGTAGACCTTAAGTCACTAAATAGTCACTGTAGTACCTTTCAATGCTGAATTTTAGCATGCAGAAACTACAGAACATGAAATCTAGAGTGAATTCCTTAATGAAATTTTGGTTTAAAAATAACTTTCAGAAAATGATTAGAGAAATACAAGGTATTATTCTCATTTAAGACTTTCAGAGAAGCACTTGCAGGCATTAATCACTAACTGCTTTCTTTGTTTTATAGAAACACATCTGCTAGGACGTGTAGTAGTTGGGCCTTTCATGTACACCCGTGGCAAAGAACTAGAGCACTGGAATGAAATGATCAGCAAGCCCAAGGAGCTGGTTAAGCGATGGCACGCTCTCTGCCACAGCATGTAAACACCACTGATAAAAAAACAACCCTAAAATAGAGAAGCTCTCACTGTCTTTCAGAATCTGATGAAGGGTACAAAATCTTTGACCACTCCTAAGTAGACAAAAATAAAGGAAATTCTTTATTTGTCCGAAAACAAAGAGAAGACTTGGTCCCTGCTAAGCTGTAACTATCTTTCCTCTCTTCAAAACATATTTCCAATTTAATTAATATGCAACACAGTAAGCAGAACAGAAGGACAAGCACAAGCTCCCAGTATTAGTTGTTTTGACCAGTAAATTCCAATTCTTTGTAATGACTTCTGGGCATAAATGATCATCCATTACGTAGATGGAACCCAAAATGACTTAGTATGATGGTACCAGGCCTAACTGTCCACTGCATTGCATCACCACAGAGTAGCTTCACCAAAAGGGGTGGAAGCCCAACAAACATGCCAAAACACAAAGCCCAGATGACACTGACTGACTACTAAATATACAAAATTTATTTAAAATAATCATGAACTTCAAAACCTCTTTCAAATATGAATGGTGGAAGGCACTGAGTGGTTATTGATCAAAAACCCAGAAGCACCTGTTCACATCCCTCAGCACAGTGTATTTCTTGCAATAATTCAGTTAGATGTTTTCAGCTAACCCAAACATACAACACTTTGTGTTGACACTAAGGGAGAAGCATAAAAGAAGTCCTGAAGTCTCAAATTATTGGAGGCTTGCAGGAGTACTGGAGTATCTGAGAAAACAATACAGAGCACATGTCCTGTCCTTATATATTTCATCCTAAGCATGTCTCTTCTGGACAAGAATTTTGGGTCTGATCTAGTATGATCACTTTTACATTGAAAAACCAATTAGTTTATGCCCCCAGGACATAAGTCTGTCTTTTAAGTAAACTGCTGTACTGTGAAATAATTCAGAGTAATTATTTTTTAATAAAAATAAATAGGACATGCTTCTCTTCTTGATGGTTCAGCCTGAACTCTCTACCTTTTATGCCATACAGTCATAAACCACACATAGACTTGCAGCAAAACATTTTGTACACTTATGTTCCAAGACAATCAAGCTCTGCAGCTCAAAGCCTACTTCCTTTTGAACAGGATACAACTTTAACTTCATATATTTTTAAAAAGGCTTCTCTGGGGAGGTAAGAACATTTTCCATGTTGATAATATTCTTATTAACTAAATGAAATACTGCAAATGAAAATATATCTGAGAGGAATTGTAATATAAACTCTGCTTCACCTGATGCCCCATTTGAAACATTACATGGTACCCTCAGTCGATCTTGCAGACTGCACCATGGAATATAAGATAAACCTCAACTAATGGCATTTAATTTTATTAAATATTCAACCATCATTATAACCCTGCTAAACCCATAATGCCAGTATCCTGAACCCCTAAAAGCTGTTTTCAGTTTTTTTCTACAAAGATATTAAAAACCACTCTAAGAGGCAATATGTTCGATCTGGGAAGGCAACCTATACATAAATTCTATTATAACTATATTACTATGATGAAGCAATTTTACCAAATACATTATATTATTTAAACCATAGAGAGACATAAGTAAACATTAAAGATCTTACATGGAAGCTTTAAGAATGTTTGAGACAGTTAGGTTCACCAGCTTGTGCAGAAAAATGAATGTAGTATATGGTGTCTATTAGCATAAAAAAGTGGGAAGTCACCTGACTTGATGTACACTACAGCCCAAATAATGAAACAATGCAATGTACTAAGATGGTCTCTTTTCTTTGTGCTTCTTATGCATTAAAGTATCAATACTTCCAGTTTGGTGTGCTCAATTTCAGCTACAATCATGAAGAAACACAAATGCACTTACTAATGTACTTCACTTGTTAAGGGCCATGCACATGAAGTGAATGACAAAGGTCGTCTTTGACTCTTATTGAACAAGTAAAGCAAGAAACAATACTAAAAAAGGAGTTATAATATGGTGTTATTGTCACATAAGAGCAATTTTTCTTTACCACTGCGTTTTACAGACCATCGATGTGGTCTTGTGGTTGAGACTTATATTGAGGTGAAGGAGGAGGAACAAGTACAAGACCTCTTAGCACCCAAGAGTGCTGCTTTTCCTCTAAAATACTAAATTTTACCATGATTCATAGCACAAAAAACCCCAATCCAAGAAATGCACAGAAATAGACACAAGATCATAGAAATTGCCATACCTTTCTTATACTCATCTCAGGTACCTTGGCACAGCAGAAAATTAATTTTGCTGGCATAAAATCAGCACTTCTGTACTTGCTGACAAAACTGTCAGAGACTGTTTCAGATAGATAAAAATACTGGGGAATTATCACAAGATTGCTAGAGCTTGAACAAGAAGACTTTGTTTGATCAATAGAATCTCACCAGATTGATCAGTACACTATTAATTAAACACAGAAAAAATGACCTTGTGAAACTTCAGCTGAGAATTAATTCCTTTTAAGTTATCCAATAATCCTTATGATTCTCTCTTGTTTTCAAACTGCTCAGAAACATTACTACCTTCCCCTTTTTTTGGCACACAAGAAAACACATGGTTTATCTATAGCTCAATCATTAAAAACCCAACAGTCCCAAACTGGTTTCAAATGAGATACAACAACAGAATCCAAATTAGCATCAAGGAACATGATTATTCCCTTGTAAGTAGCTACTTCCAAGAAACAGCTTATGAAAGCTGTTCAGCTGTCATTACTTGCATTATAGTACATATGACAATTTGATTTATCAAATACAGTTTTGAGAACACTTCTGTGTTTGAAACTTGAGGATAGCTGAAACAGTGTATGTGGAAATTTATTTCCTAAATGAGAAGAGCACAGGTAAAGGTCTGCAAGTATCTAGCCAGACAGCAAGTGTGATTCATACTCTACAGCTCTACCAGCCTCTGTAAGAGGCATAATTTGTATCTGAGATATTTATGTAGAAAAATATTCATCTGTAGAACTTTTGCAGTATTTATATAAGAAAAAAACACTGATCTTATTGTTTTCACAGAGTAATACAAGATTGTTAATTTATGAAGTCAAATGCAGCTATTATTTACTCAGTCTTTTACTGATAAAATCACCATCAGAATACACCAAGACTTTAAAAAATATTTAATTTCTAAATCTGTTCAAGTTGGGAGAAAATTTTGTGGAGTAGCATTAAGCTGATTAAATTGGCTTGAGGTGGTGAGGTTTATTTGCCAGCTTATGTTGGATGAATACAACAATTAAATAATTTAAAGGGTCCATGAAACAATGCACCAGTTAAACTGTTTAAAATCTCAAATAAATTGGTGCTATAACTTCTAGACAAGCAAAATTGGATTCAGTGAGACAGTTCTGTATTACAAGAGAAAATAATGGCAGTAAAATTGCTGAGGGTAAATGGTAGAAGTTTTGCTATTAAAAGAAGGAAAGCAACCAGAACAGCAAAGGAAGCAAAGTTACAGATAATATATAGGATAAAACAAACAAAAATCGTATAATAATATTACTGAATTATGTCTGCCTTCCTCTATTAGGTCATATCTGACAAAAATGCAGTCTCTCATTACTAGCAAACTAGGAAAACATACACAGTAAGAGTTTATTAATATAAAAATATAAATATAAAATATACTTAATGACAATTAGTATTACAGCAGCAGTACATACTAATATCAGATATTCCATACCAGTCCTTTTGATTATTTTTTTTTTTAGTAAGTTAAGAATAAAATCTTCTATTGTATTTTGAAAGACATTTGCTTTCTTGAGCTAATTAATTTTTCTTCTGTTTGCCATCTGTGTGTTCCTATGGTCTCTGTTAATCAATTATTGCAAAGGTCAGTGCTTCAAAGATCAGGATGAAAATTTTTTTTTTTTTAGTAAGTTAAGAATAAAATCTTCTATTGTATTTTGAAAGACATTTGCTTTCTTGAGCTAATTAATTTTTCTTCTGTTTGCCATCTGTGTGTTCCTATGGTCTCTGTTAATCAATTATTGCAAAGGTCAGTGCTTCAAAGATCAGGATGAAAATTTAGCAGATGGAAATCCTTTTGCAATGGATAACTGTTTTCATCTAGCACAAAATGGCTCCTAATTTCCAACAAATAGGATGCTTCTGTATCTGCTAGCAGCAAATGACACACATCTGCCACTACTGTGCTGTAGGTTACATCTGAAGAGGGCACTGCAAAAGACAGAACAATCTAATTTACTCTTTATTTTCACAATAGCACCTGACAATCAAGTTTCACCTCCATGAAAGCTACACTGAATTACTGCAAATGTAGCTCAGTATCTGAGCAGATGAGCAGTTTTAATTTTTCATCTATTTTTTTAAAAAACCCAATGTGCTAAAACTGCTTTTCATTAAACTTGTAACACCTGTAAATCATGTAAAACACCTCCCAGGAAGTCAAACAGATTTTATCAAGGGAAGTCTGTCTGAAACACTGCTCAGTTATTTACATCATGACAGCATATTAGCTATTTTTAAAAACTGCTAAGAGATTATGTTTTGCTTATAAGGAATCAATTTAGTTACTGAATACTTAATTATAAATTGTATAATAAATGTTCAGACCATCTCACCTCTTGTTGCTACCTCAACTCTGAACTTCTAAGTTTGCTAGATAGCAACTAAAGTGTTGTCTTTGAGGTGGGTTGGGTTTTTTTAAAGTCTCATACAATAGGAGCAATCATTACATTTCCAGAACAATCTCATCCCAATTCTAAATTGTCAAAATGTAAAAATTATACTTTCATCATTAGCTTCTCTGCCTGTTGCTACTGCAAGTAATTAATGAAACAGTACCTACTAATCTGTTCAGCCAGTCTGCAGGAATATTGAGGAAGATTTTTTCCACCAGCTCAGACACAACATGAACATAAATCTCATATCCTCCATCTTCTACTGTCATCAAAGCAGGTCTAGATGAGAAAATAAAAGAAAGTTAGCTGCTATGATTTTTTATTGCATTGCTATGATTCAAAAATTTTGCTTCAATGTTATATTACCCTCCAACATAACACCAAGAACTAGAAAAATTAGAAAATCTCCATGCACTCATCTGTCAAATCTGTAGAGCTGGAATGAGTCAACAGTATTAGGTCTGAAATTAACCTGGTTCATTTGCTGTTTCACATGATTCAAATGTGATATTGGATGACAAGCAACTGGTAAGATGAGGGGGGGATTAGTACAGTTACTCGCTATATTTCAAGTGTTTGTCTACTTTCCAACCTGTTCTTATTGATGCCGTTATTGTTCCCCCAGATAAGTCCTTGCTATTGTTTTTTGCCATGCATCTCTAAGATGATACCTTAGCAATCCTCTGTTATGATGTTCAACAGATAGTATCTGCTAAATTTCAAGCTTCTGAGCAATTGTACTGAGACCAATAATTTACACAGCTGATGCAGCTTATACCCAACATATGCTCTTTGACTGCCCCAAGACTATTTGACCTGCAGTATTTACACCACCACAATCCTAACACATTGGAAAAAATCTGCACTGCTCTGATTAAAGCAGGATGCAATCCTGACCATCCCACAGCAGAAACTAAAATGGTAAAACATTAGGACATATCACAATGATGTAAACCCTGGTTATAGCAAAATTGGAACAGTACCAAAACAGTATATGTTAAAGTAATAAAGCAAAATCATCTTCAGTGCAGAACTTTTCAATGGGAGACCCTCCCAACAGGATAAAGTATGTTTCACTGCAGAGATAGCAAAAATGAAAGAAGGATAGTCACTTCAAGAGACCAGCTAGTCTATCTTAAGCTTGTGTCTTCAGCATCTGAAGGAAAAGATGAACTTCATTACAATCACAAAACTGGGCCCATACATTTCAAAGGAAAAAGATCATAAAGGTGACTTTACTGAACTACAGTATCAACAGCCAATACTTTAAGGCTAAATCTTTTAAATACCAAGATCCTGTCACAATAGGTATTTTCCTATCCTAGTGTCTATTTAATGTTAAATATACACAGTCTTAAAATAAATAAGAAAGTATCTATGTTAGGTTAATAATGTAAGTACATTTTCTGAATCAAAGACACAAACCAAGTTACAGATTAATCCATGTTTTAAGTTTGTAGCCTTACATTTACTAAGTAGAAGGCAATATGCAGATTTCACTCCCTAGGAGATGCTGGTAGCTATTACATTGCTAGAAAAAGTGCAGACTGAGTTTACTACCTCCTTATATGAAGGGATTAAAACTAACCTGAGATAAGGGGCATGAATTGACAAGCTACATAAAGAAATACATAATTTTCTAGTAGCTGCACACAGATTTTTATAAATAAGAATAATACTAACCACTGACATATCAAGCTGTTGAACAGTCATATAATGCTAGGATAGCATATTTAATTAACTCATTTCATTTAACAAGTTATTAATTGGCAAGAGATATTTTTCTGTTAAGATGTAAACATACAAAGTTATTGTTCAGTACAGAGCATTCTTACTAAACTAATCTGAGCAAAATTTGAGTGCAAAAGTGACAGTGTTTTCTTGGAAAAAATTGTGCATTGAAGTTGCACAACAAGATGTGTTTGCAGGCTGAGAATACCAACATTGGAAATCTTTTATAATTTTTCTTGCACCTTTTTCTCAGGAGTAAATTCTTGTCCTTCAGGAACACATGTGAGATCGTAATCTTATGAAAGACGGGGAACCTTTTCCATTAAGAAACAAACTCTCTGCACTTAATCCTCCCTCATAGGAAAATAAATAACATATAATCTTAAAGCTGAAAGACTGTTTTGCATAGAGGAAAAGTCTAAGTCACTGCCTTATTAGACAAATGGGATTCTAATATTTAAGTCAAAGCCAAGTGAGAAACTTAAGTATACAATGATTCACTAAACTCCCTATGAAGTAGTTTAGGAATAATTTTGTAAGTAATCTGGAAGAAACTTTGCATATGCTAGAATTCTATTCCATCTAAAACTGTCTCAACCTCCTTACCTACATGTCTTCCAGGTGTATAATACGTATATTTCAAAAGTCCTAGATAAGTTCAATTATAGAACAATTAGTTAATTATGTTATTGCTATGTCAACTGGATGGTTTTATTTTGTTTTCTAAGTAAATCTTGCCTCACAGTGCCATCTGCTGATAAGCTAATATCTCTGCTCTCTATGAGAATGTTTATTGAAAACACTTGTTATTTCTGCAAGGCTAAAACTGAATAATAAGTTTAAAATATGGTTGTGCACTCACAATTTCAAACTTAGTCTGAAACAAGATGCTTAAGGAGCTTTTCTGTGGTCTTCAACTCCACCTTAGCTTACTGACACTACTGGGTAAACCATGTTACTGGGTAACAATCTTCAAAGAAATTGAAAAGTTAGATGTAAACAAGAATATCACCATAAGTAATGGCAATATAATACAGCAATTCAGGAACAGCTCCTTGAAAGTTCCTTAGGAAAATAGGAAAGACTAACCATGCCTTAAGTATAGAATTTTATATAAGTGGAAATTTAAAAATTAAGAAAGTTGTCATTTATTTTCCTAATAGTACATGTTAGTTTTGTTTACCTGTAGAATGTTTTTACTTTGTTGTATGGCAAACATCTGACACATTGCTTGTAGATCCTGTTCTCATCTGCCTGTAGTTCCAGAGAGCATTTAGCACAACCTGAATACGTAATCATAGGCAGAGAAGCCAAAATGCACTCCAGTGAAGTGTCGGCATGGAAGATGAGTTGCTTGTACTGACCCACAGAAATGGTAAACTTCAGTTCTAAGATATGGGCTTTCACGTGAATCACTCCTACAAAAACAATTTCAATCATGTGCATTGTTTGATTTGTAACTGAAAGCAAAAGTAAGGGTTACAGATTATTAAAAGTAAAAATTATTATCAATAAATATTTCTGATTTTTTTTATCCTTCAGTAGCATATGCTCATTTTTTAGGTTATTTATCCAATGAAACATCATTGTGGTTAAATTTTATTTTAAAATGTATAAAAGTCCTACAGCTATTGTGGCAGATGCAAACATAGAAGGCCCTGAACAAGAGATTAGAATTGTGCCAAGTTATTTCCAACTGCTTTTCTTCTATGCTAATTCAGAAACACTGAAAAGCAACAACTTTAACAACTTAAGCTACCCAGTATTTATGCATAAGCTAGAGGTAAATGCTGCAATACCAACTTCACTTAGTTACTTCTTAGTGTTTAACACCAACCTTAACAATCTTCTAGGTTTATCTAGAATGGGGTGACTGTGTAAACTGTATTCTGCTCTTCTGTAAGAAGTTTTCAGTAGCAGTAGCTATTTTACTCTTTCTTTAGAGAATACCAGTTTTGAAGAAATACTACTTGATAAACTTTGTGACTAATTGCATCATTACTAGACAGGTTGGCATGGACAACAACAGCCAACATTTCTACCCATGTTCCAAAGCTCTCTTTGTACAGCACCACATACCTGTGGGCTCACTGAATGAATGCTGCATTCACAGTTTGGTTGGGTACTGAGCAGCAGCCTCCAGAATAAACTCAGACTCCCAGAACTGTGCTAACTTAAACAATTTTAATTGATCAAAAGAGTATCTATTTTGCTTAGTTATGTGCTGCACAACAGACATCACAGAGTTATGGATAAGAACTTTACCTGAGCATTTTTCCTCCAAATGTATTGAAAGCTTTGTCATCTGCATGGGAGATGTTTTGCTTTTCTGAAACTTTTCTTTAAATTCAATTGCCCTTGTGTCATCATCAAACAAGCATTCACAGGATGACCATGGAGTTGTGTGTAATTCAAAGTCACCTGAGACAGAACTATGTTGGACTAGAAGATATTTGAAGTCCCATATGTGATCTACAGAACAACAGAAAAACAACAACAACAACAACAACAAAACAGTTTACTTCCTTTACCTTGGTTAATTTATAGAAAGCCAAGGTCATTTACAAGACTAAGAAACAAATGAACAAGACATTCTCATATAGTCAGCTCTGGCAACCTTACTTCAAGCCTGACAACATGTAGGGTTTTCCCATTTCCCTATAAACTTTGCATGAATCCTCACATGATTTCACTTTTATTTCACTTGTACTGACCTCAGCTTTCAAGACAACTTTTTGAAAAAGAAACCATTTCTGAGATTTCTCATCAGTTCTAATAAGGAAAAGCTGGCAATGTCTAGAAGAAAAAAAATCTTCACATTAATAGTCAACTTGATTATCAACACATGTTCCTGTTTTTTTAATCTCCTAACTCAATAATGCTGTGATTTAAAAATATTAATTTTCCATCTTCTAATTGACTCTATAATGAAAAAAACAGATTAAAGAAGAGTAATACCTAATGGGTTATCCTTCACTTGGTTATAAGAATCCAGCATTCACCTACTAATCCAGCTTGAAACCACTGAGGCTGTTGTTTTTTCCCATGTGTGCTCAAGCTGAAAGTTGCAGCCAAAGTGATTGGCTTTGGAAATCAGATTATAAAAAAACAGATTTAAAAAAATGTATTCAAGTGTCTGTATAAGCATTTTATTAGCATGTTTTAGCATTTTCATCGTTCGGATTAGTCTGGTTTTTGGTGGTAAGTTCCTAAAATACTCCAAAAAAACTTCTGAGCATCTGTCTGGTTTTATGCATCTTTTATCTGACTAGAGATCTTGCAGCCCCCCACAACTGAGCATGCTCCAGGCCAAAGCAAGATTCAGGCAGTTACACTACAGCAACACTGAGGGAAAATGTAATCAGGAAGAAGCAAATGGGCACTTGGCAAGAGGGGATCTAGGGATGTAGAAGTCATAGTCTAGTCTAACTTTGGTACAAGATTTGACTGATACCTGAATTTAACCTGTTATTCATATCTTCAGCATTCCCAGGTTGATTAGAATACTGATCACAAAACACGAGTAAATTAAGTAATCGAGTTTACAGACATGTAAAAGAAATATTTCTTTTTTGGTAACCTAAACCAGATGAGCATAAAGCATGAACTGATGATGACTGTATGCTGCAAGATTGGACTGATTTTTAGCAAGAGATGAAAAATACATTTAACTTTTACTAGCAACAGTTTTCAGATACTCTAGAATTGTCTTCTCTTAAGAACTTTAAGTAGGTAGACAGTTTATAAATTACAAGTCTCCATACCTTCCTCCTCAAGACTATAAGGTTTCTAATGTGCTAGTACAACTAGTAAACATAGCACAGCTGTGCTATGACTCCCAACGAGGGTGGACATCCTGCACCTCCTGTAAACCCACTCATACTGCTAAGCTGTTGTGTTGCATATACTTTAGTATCATGTCAATTTACCTTTTTTTGCTATGTTACTGGAATTAAATGTTCTTAGTTTGTCTGCAATTAAGTCTTTGAGCAGTGGAGAAGTCACTATTATCTTGAATTTCAGAAAATACTTTGATCATTAAAATGTTAACTGCTAGATGCACAGAACATGAGCCAGAGACTAAGATACTAGCTTTCAATCAAATATAAATCACTTGATACTACAGAGATCTACATCCTGCAGAGAAGGGTATATTATTGTGTATTAAAATTAACTTTTGGTATCTTTTTTTGCAGCTACAAGAAATGTTAAATTCTGTATTTTGAAGTGTCATATTCCAGCATACTAAATTCTGTAAGATTTTTAAGGAACTAATGAACAGTATATACCTGCTCACACTGAAGTATACACAAAAGGTACTATATAGTTAATTGGTTAATGCTTAAATTGCATAATCTTTTTCAAGCAGTTGAAGAGGTAAGTCTTGCAGTTGAATTCAAGAGTGTCTACATTTAATAGATAAAGATAAGGTTGTTTAACTGTCCCAAGTTTTCTTCTGTGCTATATGAAAACTGGCTTTTTAGGCAGACAGTCATCACTTCCAAGCAATACAGCCATTTACCTCTTAAGTGTATCCACTGATCAGAAATGCAAACTCTTACATTTTCAATTTAATAAAAAACTGATTTCACTTATTTCAAAAGAACAAAGGCAGAAATAACCCAAAATTCAGCAGTAGTCACTGGTACAGTGTAATTCTTCCAAGAGATGCTTGCAGTCAGTTACAGCTAAGACTTGCTAGCAAGGCCATTAGGACATAAAGCCTGATATATGAAGGGAGGAAAGCAGATAATAGAAATCAGAAGTACAAAAAATCCAGCAATTCATGCTAAACCAGACAACCATACCACAACTCAACAAAACTGGTAACACAATTTACACTCAATAATTTTTTATAGTTACATAACTAGGCACCAGTTTCTGAACACTCATGCTTTCTCAGTCTTCTAAAACTTAGTGCACTCAAATTCTGTTGCTGATGGCACGGCTTCTCAACAGGAATCATGTTAAAATCGGTAGTAAATATGTTGCCCTTCTAAGGGGAGTATTTAAAGGCTGAAAAGTTACCAGCTGAACATTTTAAAGATACTAATAGCATCACAAAAATCCTTTTACATCTATTTAGAGGTAGAAGGGCTTACCTTTTTTCCTTTGAAGTTGAGGGCACCAGGCAGCTCCTGCTCCCCACAGTACCATCCTATAGTGTTGATCTCTCTTCTGTTCTACTGTTAGAATGATTTTTCGTTGGTTGCCACCCCTGTAGCTATACACAGATTCTGAAAAAGGTTGAAATCATGACTTCTACAGTGAAAAGCATTTAAACACACAAAACCCACATAACTCAACCATGCTGCTATTGTATTTTATGGTATAGTTATAAGCAAACAAGAATATACCTACAATTTCTTCAGGACAGAATGAAAGCAATCTGAACTCTTCAGCAACATGAATCTAGCCTGAAGGAACACACAATCTGTCAATTTACCTTTATCCACCTAAATACTCAGCAACTGGAAACCTCCCTTTGAAACAGCAGGTATCTGAGCATTGTTCAGTTCCCACTCATCCTGACTGGTATAAGTGAAAAACTGTACTCAGTCTCTCAGCAACAGACTGTCATAATTGGAAGTTAAAAGTTCCTTTAACTTCTCTGGAATACATTGAAAAAAATTCTCAAAGTTTTCACATAAAAAAACCAACTATAGCTACATACAAGCACAGTAAGGATTGCAAACAGTACATATAAATGGAAAATATTATCATCTCTACAGCACTCTTACCAAGGAGTAAGACTCCTTACTGCTTGGAAATTTCAATTCCATGCTAAAACTAAATATCTTTTTAATAAACAAAAGATGTTTGAACAAGCACTCTTGCTTTAAATATCTAACAGGATTGAGATTTATACACAATAATAAATTATGAAAAAACTTATCTTAAATTCTCCACTAATACTGAATAAGCTTGATATTGACAATGTGAGTAAAAAAGTGCATCTTACTAATTAAGCACTAATACAAGATGACAGTGCAATATTAACAAATCTATGTGCAAAGCTTGAAATAAGCACTGAGAATAAAGAAGAGAACAATTATGCAGGGAAAAGAGAGGAATACTCATTTTTCCATGTGAGGATACTGCCCAAAACATTTTTTAAAAAACAGGGCAAGATATTGCATGAAATACTGAGAATGCCCCAAGACAATTTTGTTTTGCTCATTTCAGAAGGTGGAAAAGATGCTAGGAAGTAACTGTAAGGCCTGATTATGAAGAAATGGCAACAAATTACCAGTTTTAACTTAGAAAACTGCTTCAGCAAAAGGAACCCTAAAGCAAAGGCATTCCCTATTAGAAGAAACATGTGACTAAAGAATGAACTGAAAAAAACAGTACGTGGACTGTTGATCATGATTCTTTGGGGGAGAGGAGTCTTTATAATAAAAATACTCAGTAAGCTCCCACTTCCAAAACAAGTTCTATTAATGGGGTAGTTTTCTGTTGAGCCTATATGGAAGAAATAGGTGTATCACAGTAAGAAATCTTAGTAGTTTCACACTGCATTTTCCTGTGCTTAAAATAAAAACAAACTTGTACAAAAAGGCACCCAAGGATGATTACAAAGAAATATTGCACATCCGTAAGAAAGGACAAAAGCTTACCTTTAAGAATTTATTCTAAGTAGGAAAAAAAAGAAAAATAAACAGGAAATGTTCCAAATAAAAAAATTGTAAACAACACATTTACATTATAAAGAAAGCCAAGCAAATCCTGAAACGGTAGATTAAAATAATCAATAATTTATTTTATTCTAAAAAACACATGATTGACAGTGCAATCACATTTTCCTTTAATGACAGGATGCTTACCTGGAAAGTAGTTGGCAAGTGAGCTTTGAATTAGTAAAGCTTGACTGTCCTACCTGGTATTTTCATATATTAGCCCTCTTTTTCAAGTAGTGGTCCACAGCAAGAATATGCCTCTTGCATTTCAAGAGCCATTAAAAATCTTAATTATGTTCCTCCACCCTATCTGCAGTATCTCCCTCTTTTCAGCACATGCTTATCTTCCCTGAGAAGAATTTTGAACCCACATTTCTCATATACAAGATATACCTGCTGTCATTCCATCTCCTAAAACTGTATTTCATACCTGCATCTCCCTTCAACCCTCCTTTTCATTGAAGATCAGATACTACACTATCTGGAGCTATGAAGATGCTCACCTCACTGATAAGTCACTAGATTAGTAACTGCTGTCATTTCTTCTCCTAAAACTGTATTTCATACCTGCATCTCCCTTCAACCCTCCTTTTCATTGAAGATCAGATACTACACTATCTGGAGCTATGAAGATGCTCACCTCACTGATAAGTCACTAGATTAGTAACTGCGGTACATGTTGGGTTCACATTCCTTAGTGAAAAGACACCAATTCCTCCAAGGGTAGGCACTGATTATCCGTGCCTACTGCCTGCATGCTTCTCCCAGACAAGAATGCTGCTGATCTGCACCAGTGGGTAGTAACCTCCTTTCAGCAGGTGACTGCAGTAATTATTTCCTTCCTGTCTCTAACTGCATTTCTCTAACTGCTAGGCCCCTCATGAGTGGACCATTACAGAGGTTTTACTTGTGACTCCAATGTTAAACACTGGTGTATGGCAGTATTACACAAAATTACTATTCAAGTTTACCTATTACTGAAGTTTTGGAAGTTGAAGTCTAGTGCATAAACTTACCTGTTATTATAGTAATGGTGATAATTTTCAAGATCAAGTGAACCAGTGTATTTGGCTGGAGCTGGTCTAGCTGCATATACTGAACTTGATCCAGTCTCTGAACTTTTCTTTGTGCAATGTCTCCAAAGTGTGGAAATGCTGATGATACGTATGCCAATAAGCCTTGGAGAACACCAGCATCCACTACAGGATAAACTTACATAAGAAAACCAACACTGTTAAAAGGACACCCTTTTTTTTTCCTTGGACGTACAAAATGTATTAGTTGGTACATATTTACACTGACAAAACCAAAGCCATTTCACAGTAATTCTAAGGCAAGAAATTCTTAAGATATGTAACACTTGATCCAAAATTAAACTGCTTTTCCTGAATATACCTACTTACTCTTTAAGCCTCTAACATTTCTGCAAAAAAATTAATCCTCATGAAATCTTAGACATCTTATGGTTGAGTGCTGGAATAACTGCTCTCTCAAACTAAGCTCAAAGAATTCAGTTTTTCAGAGTTTTTAATAGTAACCACCCAACTTCACCATCAACTCCACATGCTTATCTGATGGCACCATATTCTCATCTTGTCCACAGATGTTCCTGTCATACTTGTCTAGCATGTTTTGTACCTCTCAGTTGCTCACATTTCCATTATATCCTGTGTATTAAGGATTGCTAAAACATAGAATACTTTAAATAGATATTTTCTGAGATTTTTGTGGAAACTTATGCACTGTAATCTTACATTCTTCTGGATTGAGAGCTGAGCAGTTCCCCAAATTCAGTAACTGACTGGTAAATGTAGACTGCAACATGATTTCTCCATACCAAAGATTCTCATATATCATTACATCTGCAATAAAAAACAACAACTTATCAAGTCATGTATCATCAATATTGAAGCATACTGTACTTTTTGTGGCTATAGAATCATCATACATACAAGTGTGAGAGAGTTTGAAAGAGATCACTTGCAAAGTGTTTTGGTAGATTAAAAAAAACCACAACAATTTACAATTACTTCATCACATTTTCTCAGTACTTTGATTAATTCTTCAATTACTATAAAATATTCACTAGTCTCCTAGCAGGTTCTGTATAAGTGAAGTGGGTACCTCTATAGGGTAAATCACTGCTACACAACATTCCAGAATGAGTTGTAAACTATCAGGCTTACCTAGAAACACTTTTAATGTATTTTGATATAAGAAAGTCCAAGCAGAAACTAAAAAGCCCAGCTTACCTTCAACCTCCTTAAAAAAAATCTACCTTTGCACGAACTTACAAGCACTTAAAGAACTCTTAACAATGAGAAACAGGCATCTTAAACTGTAGAAATACTGAAACAATTTTATACCGTGTAATTTTTTGCATATTGCAAAACCTAAATGGCCAGATCACAATCAAGTCCTAGTAAACTCCAGCCCAAAATTAGCTGCAATATCATTTTTATAGTACTACATTCTTTTACATTAGCAGTGTTCTTTTAGAGAGTGTTTTGCTCCTATTGGGTATTAAAGGTTACAAAGGATTTATAAGAAATAATCTTAGTTATTCGCTGACATGTTATAAAAAAGGTGAACTTCAAACAGCATTTCTTATTTCTGCATCCTATGCCAGTTACTAATTCACAGCACTATTCATCATAATATGCTAGTGCTAAGCTACAAAGTCATCCACAAGAGGAAACATACTTCTCGTCCTGAAAAAGAACATCACAATTTTCTGGTCCATCTACTGGTTCAACAGCAGGGAGTTACAAAGAAGTCTATAAATCAAGTACCTAGCACATTTGATTTATAGTAGCACTTGTACCTTTCAGAAACAACTGTTTTACAACACTGAGAGATTACAGAATACACCTGACTACCTATGGCCCTGGTGTCAGTCAATGCACTGCTGTATCTCAGAGCAAAGACTACACATAAGGATGGGCAAACTTCTATGATGCAGGTGATTTAAGAAAGATACTTAAAAATGCTTTGCCATAGTTACAAATTACTGCTTACGTACTATTGTACTTTAAACAGGCATTTTAAGGATCCACATTTAAAAAAGGTAAATAAAAGGAATTCTCACCTGTAAGAAGTACAACATCCCCAGGAAAAACAGTAAGTGACCAAAATGCAGCACTACGCCACAATACCACCTTTCTCTCAGTTTCTGACTGGTCAGTAACTACAATTGTTGCTACAGGAACTTTACATGAAGATTTTCGTCTAGTCTTCACCTGTATTTCTTTGATATGACAAGGATGTAGCACTGTGACCAAAACATTGTACTTTAGATTTTTGCAGCAGCAATTCTTAAGTGGTGATAGTTTCGTTCCAAGTTCCTTGAACTCTGTCATCCTCTCTTGGTCCATTCTCACCCCTGGGCCAGCTGGAGAATTTAGTTTAGCCCTCTTTGATTTCAGCTGTCTTTTAAATGCCGAGTGAAAAACAGGAAGGGAATCTTCACCCTTGCGGGTTCTTTTAGAAGAACTTCTATGAGAACTGTCTACTTGAGAGCACAATATTCCTGAGCTCAATGGTTCGATATGGATTTCATTTACAAATTGCTCAGCAGGTACAATGAGTTCTTGAATCTTCTCTGTATTTTCCTGAGCACTTCCTTCTTGCTTTGTAGCCTCAGAGGGAACATTTTTCCCATCACTCTCAGAATCAAAAAGTTCAAGGGAACTCGTATACTCTTCCTTATACTCATTTTCAGCCACATTAAGACATGTTCCAACACCAGACTCAAAGTGGAAATGACTACACTGCCTTTCTTCAGGTTTTTTGCCTGCTTCTGTTTCTGATAGTTTTGTGATTCTTTTCTGCATTTCATTCCTATCCTGTGCAAAAACAGCCATCTGACTTGCAGTCATTATACTATGAAATTCAGTATCTGTTGACACTGTGAAGTCTGAATAATCAATTGGTTCTGCTTTTGGTTTTGACTCTTGATTTTGGGGGAAAAACATGTCCAGATAATGCCTTAGATACTCATGGTGATCACTCCTACAGTCTGATTGAAAACCCTGTCCCAAAGACCTTAGATGTATGCTAGTATGTTTAGTACTGGCAACCAAATCAGAAATGTCAGAGCTGTTAACTTCTGAAGGACTGGCTTTTCTTTCTGTGAGGTGTGAACAACAGCCAGGTAATTGTTTATCTTGGTTAACTGATTCTGCAAACTTTTGTGGAAGGTGTTGATCTGCAGCCCGATTTACATTTGCATGTGTGCATCTATCTTTAGATATTTGACAATCAGAATAAACTACATTTTTGGTCTTTTTAGGTGTGCTGGTGCAAATTACTGGCACAGGTACAAGTGATGTAGAATATTCTTTTGCTACCATTAATCTCCTCTGTTCAAACTGCTGAGAGCTGTCATCATCTGTAGGAATTGCTGTGACCACAGAGCTTTCTGCCTGAAACATCACAGGGTCAGCAGTTTTGACTTCCTCAGAAAAAAGACTGTGTGTATCACACAAATAGTGGAGTTCCCTCCATTTTTCACCAGTGGGTGCTGAACTACTTTGCTCTGACACCTCCAGTGGGCTTGGAATATTGGGTGCTCCCACAAAAATATGAATTTGCGTTCTCTTTGGCATTTTGGATTGCTGCGTAAGTTCGACTTCAAGCAATATGGTTTATACTAAAAACACAACACTAAATATTACTAAGTGCCAAAAATTCTACTTGGTCTTTTAAAAACCATTTTAATACCTAAAATTAAAAGAGTTATTACATAATTTACCCTGTAAAAACACCACTTTTCTCCCTAGAACCTATAAAATTAAATGTATTTAAAAAATTGGAAGTTTACCATGTCAAACTTGCATAGAAAAATAAATTATTTACAATAGGGCTTAATCTTGACACTTGGGAATATATAGCAGATACACAATTATAGTGAGGTTAAAACATAGTTTAATTAAATGTAGTTTAAAAATGTAGTTCTTAATTCTTGAGCAGACTTAGTTTATTATTGCTAATTGAACAGTCAAATGTGAATTAACTATTCAGCATTTCATCTTAATTTATGTGAATAAATGTCTATAAGGAACTTTCACAGTATGGTCAGGAGATAGCTTCACCTCTCAGAAAACTACAATTTCGACTAAACAATTAAAAAGCCCTAGAGTTATTTAAAATTAATTTAAAAGTTTGTTAGAAATGCAATATTTTATATGCTGTTTTAGCATGAAAATACTGTATTAAGTTATTTCTGTGTGAAATGGAGAGTTTCAGGATTTTACTGACAAATTAAAATTTTTAGTAAGCACTAAGAGATCTGTGAAACTTGAGCAAATAATTAGAATTAGCTTTAATTCATGTATATAGTATCATACTACCCAAGAAATTACTAGCTTTTTCTAGTTTATTAAAAATAAGCCCACCTTACACAGCACAAAAGGCCTTTTTTTTTTTAAATTCATGCTATACTGATTTTAAAAATACTTGCTACAGCCACAAGTGTTCATTAAAATGCAGACATTTAGCTACATGTTTTGGGGAACGTTGTAAATAGAAGTTGCTGCAAGAGGTAGTTCTGCAGAGTTAGGAAATAGAACACCAGAAATGGAACTCCAGAGCTAATCCAGCTGCAAACAGAGGAGAAAGAACATTGAAAAAAATACAGTATTGAAAAATTATTTTAAATGTTCATTTAGCACCTATTTAAAAAGCCATTTTGCTAGCAACCCACTAGGGGTCGATAAATCTGCACATTAATAAAAAGCACAGTAACATAGACTATAAACCTCCTAGAACACTGATCTCAGGTATATTATAGGTGTAACTGGAAAAAAATATACAACAACTAAAACTAGCTATATCATGTCATAATACAAAGAAGCTACAAAACACAATAACTAATATTGCTCAGTGTTATGCTCATTTCAAAATTACTAATACTTAAAAAATTGGAGTGTCCAAACTTGTGCAGTTGTAAATTCAAGCTCATAAGAAACTTTAATGGGCAATTCCCATACCTGTGAAACTTTTAAGGTTCATAATTAAAGAACATCAATACACAAATAACCAAAATGACAGAATTTACAGTTCAACTCTAAAATAATGAATCAGGAAAGAAGGGAAAGACAAATCAATGTGACAGTGAAACTGAATCCCTAAAGAAGGGCTGTTAAAACACGTCATAGGTAAAAGGCTGCCCACTAATGATGTAAAAAACAACTTCAGTAACAGATCCCCTATGACAAACAATAAATGTTACCAATAATTCAAATCAACTTTAGAAGTGTAATTTAACTGCTGAGATTGAGTAATTTCTTTCATTTCAAAATACATCATTTTACTTTAACTTTTTCATTCGTTTTTGTCTTGGTTACAGCCATTACTGATGGTCAGTTTTCTTAATTAGGTACTCTAAAGTGTAACACTGTAAGGAGGTGCAAGTGTAGAAATGGTTCAAATGAATTACAAAGGATTTCTTCCACATATGTGCTATAGAACAAAAGAGGTCGAAAAGCAGAATTCTGATATAAATCTGTGTGACTTCTAAAAGAACTTGCACACCATGCAGAGACTAATGAAATAGTCATTTCCAAACTGGACTTTGGTAGACCAGGTCTTTCACTTCAACATTTACCTTCTTCTACATGGGCTAAATACTGATTTATCAAAGGTATAAAATACTGTCTTACTCCAGTCTTAGCTGTCTTATTACAGTTGTCTAGTCTGGCAGATATTTTGGAGGCTTTTGCTAATTCTAAAAAACCCACAAATTCTCAAGCATTTGTACTTCAAGTTTCAGGGAGAGAGAAATCTTAACTGAAGTGAACTGAAATACTTTTAGGACAAAATTTGCTTACCTGCTTTCTGTACCCTTGAAGCCTATAACCAAGTTAAAGTTTTTTTTTATAAGGAAAAACTAAAACTAAACTGTAAATGAGCCCACTGAATACTTCAGTTCTTGACAAGTTCTGAGGACACTGGAAGGGCAATTTGGTTGCAAAATACATAAGACCATTAGAACCAGACGTTTAGAGGCAAGCTTACAACGCGGGGTTGCAAGATTTTGCATTCGTAGAAAAGCTGATGCTTAAGATGACATACCATAAAGTACTCAAAATTAACATGAAAAAACCAACAACTGTCAAGTGCCCTAGACCACTCACATAAATATAATGCCGGGCCTCACATATTTTACTATAGCAATGTTTCACACTTTATAGCTTAAAACCAGGAAACAGTAAAAAAAGGAAAGATTTTAGATCACTATATTTTTCATAGGCTAAACATACCTTTTCAATACTTGAAGTTCACTACAAAAGTTTAAGATCCTTGAAATGCAGTTGTATTTCACTCTTTCAGAGATATCCTGTATTATATTTCAAATGGATTCATCCTATAATCAGGATTGAAAAATGAATGAATCAGTTAATACCTGAAGGAAAAATATCACTGAAGAACCATGCTCAAGCCTGTTTGTTTTTCTTTTATTGTATGTCTACCTACTTTCCATACAAAAAAAAATGTAAAAACCAGCTCTGGGTTTAATTCCCAAGCACTTCTGTATTGTTTCTAAAAAGAAAACAGTAAGATGTGAATCTAAACGCATCCTAATAGGCCTCCAATTATGCAGAGTTTGAATCAGATAAAGCTGTGACTTTAGCATACTTGTGATTTTCATAAAAGCTATTTACTGTTTTTATCCTTGAGATTTAACTGAACGAGTTCTTACGTTAGGATAAGATCCTTGTGGCCAAATGAGAGGTTTAGTTTTAGATTTAAATAAAGGAAAAAAGAAACAGGAAGAGAAGGATTACAGCAGAATTATGTTCAGTAATTTTCAATTGTTATAGTTTTGTGTTTATACAGCTTTGCTTGCACTACAATATTGAGCAGTATGTGTGTGAAGATTAGAATACAGCAAAAAAAGTAGTCATATGTATCTCCAGTTAAGGAAATAAGGGTACATCATAGCAGAAGACAATTAATGAAAGAACACTATTCATAAAGGAACAAATAATTGGAAGGTTTATGAAGATGAGGTTAGGAACAGCGAACGTTGCACTCCAGAGTCTCAACATATGCCACTGTTGAATCAGAACTGCAAAGGCCACATCCCTCTTATCCCTCATCTTCTATGAAGGTAAACTACATACTTGGACATGTATTGAGATATGATAAATAGGAAAACAAGACAAGTACTGTGCTCCTTCCAGCTTTTTTTCTCTTCATAATTTCATTCTGTGGACCTGAAGATCTTGGCACAGTCTCACAGTCTTCTCTAAAAGAGCTAATTCCTCTTGCAACTGCAGTCTTTTGGACTCCCATTACAGCAGGCATGACATTGCCAAATATAATTGAAAATCTTCTGCATTTTCTTCAAGAATAACTCATCTTTTTACACCTACATTTATACATACACTGTGACTAATACCAAGGAGTACTTTGAAAATACTTTTTTTTACACAAGCACCTGTGTATTCACTTTTATAAGCACATGTGATACATATATAGCATTGGCATGACAAAAATGCATGAATGATAAACTGACTTATTTACTACCGCACAAAAACTCCACCAATGACAAAAATCACAATATAAACTGAACATTGCCAAGGTCTACTGCTGTATACATACAGGGACAATGTCATTAAGCAACTTAGTTTCTGTGAAATAGATTACATTGAATTTACAGCAGAATAATAGTTACGCCCTCTTCTAGTACAAAAATGAGTTTACTAAAGATGTGAGTCACAATACAAATGTGTTTTGAAAAGATACCTGGAATATAAGAGCCATATCTGAAACAGTATGGCACATAAAACATGAAATCAGATTAACAGCACAAATTAAGATGCCAACAGAAAAACACTTTTGAAAACAAAAACATCTACACCTTGGTAACCTTCCGGTTATATAGTATTTTACAAGCTTCACATTTTAACTATGACTTCTCTTTTGGTTTTTGCCATGTTTAAAGCATAAAAGTTATACATAAATTCAGAAAGTTTTCCTTAACTTGGAAGTTCTGTAACTTCTCTAAACTCAGGATTTTTTCCTGATTCATAACTGAATCTGTTATTTAGTAAATTTCTGCAACTAAAATATAACTTGTATTTTCAACCCTAATATTTCCATACTTAGATACTTAGAGCTTAGCAATGATAAGTGACCTCTGCCTATTCCCTAGTTCACCTAAAAAGTCTACTATCAAATTACCTGCTTTGGCAGTTTCCAGGTGACATTTTAGGTCAAAGATACCAAGCTCCAGTACCAGAAATCAGTCCTTTTTAATAATTTAAGTCTCTACATAAAAAAATAGATTACAGCTTGGGTAAATTCTCTGTATGCAAAATTGTTTAAAGAATCTTTGCTATGCTTCTTTACAACAGTATATTTACTTAAATTAGTTCTGTTAGTCAAGTGCTGTATTTTGTTTTAAAGAGAAAGTCTGAGAGAACAACTTCTAATATATATCTTTAAAAAATCAGCAAAAAGCTTATCAATCGTATTAGCAAAATGCTACTAACACAGAACAGCTCCATTTTTATACTGTAGTTAAATTATCTGTGGGTAGACAGGGGGTTAATGATACCAAAGATAACAGGAGCTAAAGCTCATGAAGATATAACTGAAA